GCCATCAGATCGTAAAATGCTCTGACCGATCTATCTTTCAAAGGGGAGTTGAAGTTCACCTGGTTGAGTTTGGGATTTTAGTTATAATAGATACATTGTTGTTGTTGTTACAGTGAGGACTTTTAGGAAGAGCTCTTTGAGGAAAAGGAGGACGACTTCCGGTGCTTGCGCCTGAAGACCGCAAGATCTCTAGAACGTGTCCCACAACTTAATGTCACTCACATGATGGCTTCCTTTCTGCATCCAAATTGCCGATGATCGGTCTCCAGTTAGTGGGAGTTTTTTATTTTTACCCACAAGATTTCGTGACACATCAGACGACGATATAAGGTCAATGAATGAGGCTTCTGCAGCAGGGAACTTGCATCTAATATATCGCGGTAGGATTGGTAAAGCTGACATTATCGACATTGTTTAAAATCTGCATTTTCAAATCTTTTTAAGAGTCCAGTCTTTTGTACATCCTTTTCTACTCTGATTTATTGTCTAATATCATGTTCATCTTCTAACTTACCGATACCCGAATTTTCAAATGTATCTTTTTATTGGCTGCCTTATATTTGCAGTATTTATTACTATAGTTATTTACTCTGCTCTCTTTTCCTCCACTCCTATTGTGGTCGATACATGCAACTTTCATATTGTTTTTATAACATAATAAAATCTGCTTCTTTCTGATGTGGGAACAGAGCCTGGTACGTGATTTGTAATAAAAAAGAAGAAGTTATACATTTCAGTGCAATAATTATGTGCAAGATATGAAATCTTACCTTGACTGTCTTTTAAGCATTACACTAATGAAGGTACTGTACCAAATTCTGATTGGTGTGTAATATTTATCAGAAATATCATTGTACATTGTACTAACATGTACCAGTAGAACTCCTTTTGACCCTGAAACCTGTACAGCATAATATCCCAGTCAACAAAACATAGTCCCGAACACATCCCTGGTACAACCCGGTTGGGATGTGGGACGTCCCAGCCAGGACGTCCCACAGTACTACAGAATGCAACATTTTTTAGACCCTGAGCAGAAGATAAGCACCTCCCACCGGTACGTCCTGAGTGGGAGGTGATTGTCACATCCCGGAAGGAACGTCCCCAGGAGGAACTTTCAGGACCTGACCATCATTTTATGTAAAACAAAATGACAATATTCAAAAGTCAAGTGAGGTTCGATGAGTTGCTTATTTGAAGCTAATTATATACATCCAGTAGCAGGTTCCGGATAACTCGGTCAAGGTTGACAGAGTTTACAAAATTTAGTTGTGGCAGTCTTGTGATGTATCACTTGACCACAATTAGACCACACATTTGGAGAGGGGTCTATAAGAGAGGTATGCGGATGATCCGCGAGATTTAAATTAGACATCACATAAAATCTAA